AATGTAATGCCTTCAAAGGCCTGTGAAGTAACACATGGGGGCAGGCAAAATCAGAAACGACTTTGATTGCTTTCTGTGCCTTTAATAGTTGTGTACAGAGACTTACAGTACTTTCTTCCTCTCTTTACTAAAGACAATTGTGCATCAGTACTTTCTTCTACACATCTAATCAACTAGACTAAGTGAACAAATTCCTCCTTCACCTCTGGTCATTTTTGTTGTCATTACTGAAGTCCACATTATTATCATTTTTAAAAAAAATAATTCACACCCACTACACATCACCAGTCCCCACTTAAGAAAACGCCCTTTATGTGCATCAAAGAATACCGAATGCAATAGTGCAGAACCAAATGGTTGATTCTAGGCTGAGTGACACATTCCATTTAATCGAACAAAAGCTAAGGAAAAGTGAAACTGTCATCGAGGATCCAGGGAGCGTTCATTAAAAAGAAAGGACAATTTATGTGCTTTGTTGTTTGCAGTAGTTACCTTTATCGCAGAAACGGATGGAATGAAAGTATGTTTGAAAGTGACATGCCTGATATTCAGACCTTCTGTTTTAGTTGTTCAACAACATGCCTTTGTTCCTCTCTGGCAATGACAGTGACTCCGCCCTGCTCCAGCAGTAACAGCAGTGTCATCCAGGAACGCACGTTCTTTCAAAGCCAGGTTTAGGTTGGCTGATTAACATTCTATTTACCAGCTCATTCTGGTACACAGGCTGAGACCCTATCTGCCTGCAGACTGCCTTGCCAGAGTGGTGCAAGCTCTGGTTATCTCCCGCTTGGATTACTGCAATGCGCTCTACGTGGGGCTACCTTTGAAGGTAACCCGGAAACTACAACTAATCCAGAATGTGGCAGCTAGACTGGTGACTGGGAGCGGCCGCCGAGACCACATAACACCTTGAAAGACCTACATTGGCTCCCAGTACGTTTCTGAGCACATTTTAAAGCGTTGGTGCTGACCTCTAAAGCCTTAAACAGCCTCAGTCCAGTATACCTGAAGGAGCATCTCCACCCCCATCGTTCTGCCCAGACACTAAGGTCCAGCTCCGAGGGCCTTCTGGTGGTTCCCTCACTGCGAGAAGTGAGGTTACAGGGAACCAGGCAGAGGGCCTTCTTGGTAGTGGCGCCTGCCCTGTGGAATGCCCTCCCATCAGATCTCAAAGGAAAAAACAACTACCAGATTTTTAGAAGACATCTGAAGGCAGCTGTTTAGGGAAGCTTTTAATATCTGAAGGACTATTGTATTTTAATATTTTGTTGGAAGCCGTCCAGAGTGGGCAGGGTATAAATAAACTATTATTATTATTATTATTATTATTATTATTAAATGTGTTTGTGGGAGGGGGAGGTATTTGTTGGCTCTCTTCTTGCTTTTATTATGTATTTTGTGTTCTTATTTTATATTTTTATGCTGTGAACTTTCGCAAGGTCTTTGGATGAAGGGTAGCATGCAAATTTAATAAAGAAAATAAAGTAAGGAAAATAAAGCAAAACATTTCATATTTTCACTTTCGAAGGGTTCCTCATGCCAGCTCTCGAACTTGCATCCTCAGCTGCAGCAGCCTCTAGCAGAACCACCCATTATTGAACTTGCTCACTAGAAAAATACAGGTGGCTTAGCTGTAGCTGACCGTCTTCAAATGGCCATAAGAAGGGCCTGCAGGGTCAGCCAGTAGCTGATCTACTTGCGCGTCCTCTGGTCACAGGGGCTGACAAGATGCTTGTGGGACGCACTCCCCCCAGAGTAACAATGATTCAGAGACATATTGTCTCCAACAGTAGAGGTAGAACAAAGCCATCACAGCTAATAGCCCTTGCTAGCCTTATCCTGCCTAATCTTCTTTTAAGTGTACATCACTCCCTCTTGTGGGAACAAATTCCATAGTTTAACTACAGTATGTGATCTCTGTGAAGTCACATATATGAGATCTGAGTCTGCGCAGAACAGCATTTTGGAAAGTACTAGAGCTTAGAAGAGCCAGGAAATCACCATGCTCTGGCTAGTCTCAAGAGTGGGGCCAAAGCTCTCTCCTTCACTCCCTTGTAGACTGCGGCAAATAAAATATAAGCATTTGCGTTGTGGTGAAGAAGACCAGCGCAGCTTGTGACCAGAGGACCAGTGAAAGAACGTTAGTTAGATTCAAATACCCTGTGTTTCTTCTTCGTGGACTCTATTCAGAGCTCAAAAGTTGCCCTCTTCTGCAAGTTTCCAGTGCAGGTAGAAAGGTGAAGGACCCCTGGACGATTAAGTCTAGTCAAAGGCAAGTGGGGCACTAATCTCAATACCAGGCCACAGACAGCTTTCTGGGTTACGTGGCCAGCATGACTAGACTGCTTCTGGCACAACGGGACACCGTGACGGAAACCAGAGCGCACGGAAATGCCGTGTACCTTCCCGCTGCAGCGGTACCTATTTATCTACTTGCACTGGTGTGCTTTTCAACTGCTAGGTTGGCAGGAGCTGGGACAGAGCAATGGGAGCTCACCCCATTGCGTGGACTGGAACTGCCGACCTTCTGATCAGCAAGCCCTAGAGGCTCAGTGGTTTAGACCACAGTGCCACCCGCCTCCCTTAAGTTTCTAGTATGTGTATGGGCTGCCTCCATCGTGCAAGTGGTAAGGTGGTTGGAAGCTGAGGTTGATGGGAAGGTGTGCATCTGAAGTGCTCTCAACTGGCTTCCACCCCGTGGATGAACTCTGGTTAAGGGCAGTAAGGAAAGGTCTGGGGGAAATTGCTCTCAAGAAAAGAGAGGACAAGGTATGGGAATGTGATAATCCTGCAATCCACTCGCAATCCCTTAATCAGGCTGACTTCAGGTCTGAGTGAAACATTGTTCAGATGACAAAGCTAATTATCAAATGGCTGCTGGCAGCAAGTCAACAGAGGTGGCGTATCAGATGACTTGTGAGCACCAAGGCAAGTGAAACCCAAACCTAAACGTTATAACTATGTTTTTTTTCTGTATAATAAGTTATAAATAGAATATTTTAAGGCAAATAATAAAAATCATTTGCAGGAATGCAATTGCTAATGCCTGCACAACATCTTTACGCAATCTCCCAGAGAAGTATAGAATATGCTTTTGCTCAGTGATATATTGCCATAGTCAACGTCACAGAAAATTTAAGAATGCTCTGGTTATTAATGCTTCTTATCCTTGATTAAAATGGAGTGGAAACTAAGAGTATGTTTAATACAAAAGGCAGTTTGTGCGATTATTATTGTCAGGGAAAAGTTGTGATTTATTATTAAAAACAACAACAAAGCCTAGAATCAACATGCTTCCTCGGAAAAATTTCAGAGGTAAATCTCACTCCATCTTTGCATGCCAAGCCGTATTACAACAGCTTTACAGGATCAGATCAAAGTTGGCTTATACCAGAAGCCAGCCAGCAGCCTCTTGAAGGTCGTAAAAACAGCAGGACAGTTTGACCTCAGTGTCTGAAGAATACACTGCTATGGTACATGGACGTTCCATTTTGCTGTAACTTACATATTTTCAATTTTTTAGGAAACTGGCATGGCTCTTGTGACATAATTGCATTTCCTATGTGATCCCTGATAAGAGGAAAGCTTGGTGCAGAATATGGCACTTGGGGATGCAGGAAGGGAGAAACCATGAGCAGCAAACCACTATAAACAGCAGGGGAAAATGTGCTCTTTGGGGGTTTTTTGGGGGGGAGCTCACCCACAAAACCCACCTTTCATTTAAGTGGAGTGCGGGAAAATGCCACTTTTCTATATTGTGCTTTCAAAAATGTGACAATACCTAAGAGGAAAAGAATGTTTTGAACAACTAGCACACTGAAATACAAAAGTGCGTACAGTATACACAAATTATGTGACCCCATTTGGGGTTTCTGTGCCTGACAGTTTTAGGCAATGGGGACAAAGTCAGCTCTTTGGGAGAGGTTTTATACAGGAAGGTCTCATTTCCTCAAATAGTGCAAAAGTGAAAGTCTGAAGATCAGAATGTTAGCAAGCTGACAATGGTGGAACACGTCCAAGGGCCATGCCCTTCCTTCCATTCCAGGAAGTTTGTTTTCCAGTATATTGGACATTCAAGTAAATGAACAAGCTCAATGGTATTTTAGCTATACATAACTCTGAAGTCTAGTAGCAGTGGGGATGTGCTGATATATTATTATTAAATAGTTCATTATTAAATTATTAAAAAGTTATAAACAATCATTTATTAACATTTCCTGTGTTTGCTTTTGTGGCATGTTTAATAAGCTTAAGTATAGAATTATAGAAGGAACCCTTTTCGATTCAGGAAACCCAGAGCAGAGAATCCCTCTGATTTAAACCTGACGTACAGAGAGAAAGACCACCTATACCCCAGATAAATAATTCTACTGTTAAACTGGTCTTACGGTTAATAGGTCTCTCCCAATGATCCCTGGAAACCTACACTCCTTCTATGCAAAAGCCCATCAAGCATGTTATGTTCTCCTTTCTGTGGTAAAATACAGAGTTCCTTCAACATTAAGAATGAACAGCTTTGCTGCCCTTCTCTGTGTTGGAAAATGCCCTGGGGTGCCCCTGCAGCCCCAAAACTATGAGTGTCCTCCGGTATGCGCAGCTCTGGAAAGGGCATTTCCCTTCTTCTCCAGTGCGCTTCAGTGACATATATCAAATGATATATGCACACTAATCTTCTAGCATAACACAGCAAGAAGCGTGAGACATCATAGAGCTAATCTACATATTTATTTACACACTATGTACAGACAAAGGAATCATAGCGTCCTCTCTCTCTCTCCAGCTCCAAGAGAAGAACAGGAACAAGTAAAAGCAAAAGTACAGTACAATAATACATACAGTGGAAGAGATAAGACTGTCTTCCATTCACACGCTCTTCCCAGACAGGCATGGGATTTACACCAATCTCATCTGCAGCATTGGAGGCGTGAAATACTAACACTCTGAACCCATTTAAGTTTGCCTACATACTTCTTAAAGTGTGGCACCCAGACTTTCCAAACCACAGGTTCATCTTGTTCCACACTAGCCAAGACTTCAGCTTGGATGCTCCAGCTAAAGTCTTGACTGGTGTGGAACAAGGTGAACCTGTGGCTTGGAAAGTACAGTGGAACCTCTACTTGCAGACATAATCAGTTTGGGACATCCGTCCGTAAGTCGATCCGGGTCGCTGGTTGAAGCACCGTTGTGCACAGGTGCATTTGGCGGCAGCGCTCTTCTGCATGTGCGCAAACAGTAGAAGCCATTCTGCGTGTGCGCAAATCGCGGCAAACCCAGTATTTACTTCCGGGTTTGTCGCGGTCGCAACTTGGATCGGGCCCAAGTAAGTAGAAGTTCTACACTGATACCTCTGGTTATGAACTTAGTTCATTCCTGAGGTCCGTTCTTAAGCTGAAACCATTCTTATCCTGAGGCGCGCTTTTGCTAATGGGGCCTCCTGCTGCACATGTGTCTCCAGCGCGCGATTTCTGTTTGCATCCTGGGGCGAAGTTCGCAACCAGGAGCAGCTACTCCCGGGTTAGCAGAGCTCATAACCTGAAGCGTTCATAACCAGAGGTACCACTGTACAGCGATTTATTGCAGGGCAAGAGAGGAAGCACCACAGGTGCATAGGTAAAGTTAAAAGGACCCCTGACCATTAGGTCCAGTCGTGACTGACTCTGGGGTTGCGGTGCTCATCTCGCTTTATTGGCCGAGGGAGCCGGCGTACAGCTTCCGGGTCATGTGGCCAGCATGACTAAGCCGCTTCTGGCAAACCAGAGCAGCGCACGGAAACGCCGTTTACCTTCCTGCCAGAGCAGTACCTATTTATCTATTTGCACTTTGATGTGCTTTCAAACTGCTAGGTTGGCAGGAGCAGGGACTGAGCAACGGGAGCTCACCCCGTCGCGGGGATTTGAACTGCCGGCCTGATCAGCAAGTCCTAGGCTCTGTGGTTTAACCCAAAGCGTCCCTGTTCACAGGTGCATATCTGAATGCAAATGCTGTCTATCTAGATTCAGTTAGTTTGAGTACATGCACATCCAATTGTGAACCACCATTTGCATTCTGCCGCAACCAGTCATGCCTAACTATTTACACCTAGATCTGCTTTGGATCTAGGCAGCACTGGCCTGGGGTCAACTCAAAATTAGACACAGCCTTTTGAGTTTCACCTAAACTATTAGTGCATTAACAACACATAGATCTGATGGCACTCTGCATTCCTTTAAGATAGACATTTGGGAATTTCTTTGCCAAATATCAACAAGAAAAACAAATTATGGCTATCTTTAATTATAGCCAAAAGAAAGGAAATTACCAGTTAACTACAGTATCCAACATTATCTTACTGTGCTTTTGGTGACAGATTGCTTGGCTTGTTTTTTTAAAAAATCAAGTGAGGGGGGTGACTTCAAATCATGCTTATTTCATACATTACATCATTAAGCCTTTCTTTATCGCTGGCATGAAGGAACTCAAAATGTTAAGCAAACTTTAATTATAGCCCCAACAACACTGTGTTACTGTATCATCTGTTTTATATTGTTGGCTTTAGGCTTCAATCCAAAACACGCTTGCTAGGAGCCCCAGTGAATGCAGCAAAAACACACACAGCATTGTGCTCTTAACTGATTATTTGAATTGTATTTTATGTTGACTAAAAAAACCCCCAAAAAACTGAACTGCTAGCCACTCTGGATATCTCAACCAAAGCAGGAGATAGAAATAATACATCATTCTTTCTACGATTTGTTATTATTATCTGTTTATTTATTCTTATAGTGGCTCGCAATCATGAAATGTCATGCACGACAAGTTGTGTACAGCTTGATGGGGGCCAACTACAAAATGCAATTTGGCTTCGACTCATCAGCGTATGGGACATTTCTAGGATGGCTCATGATGCTAAAATAGGATTCTCTCATTTCATAACATATCATTTACCTGAGTCTTAGTAAGGCTATCTCCAATACAGCCCTGGCTACAGAGCTGTTTCATGAGGGTGCAAAAGGTGCAGGCAGTAGCCTCTCTTAGGACTAGGACCCTTGTACCTACGAGACCACCTCTCCTAGTATGTCCCACGGAGGACCTTACGGCCACAGGGAGGTTAGGCTGGCCTCAACCAGAGCCAGGGCTTTTTCGGCTGTGGCCCCGATCTGGTGGAATGCTCTGTCCCAAGAGACTAGGGCCCTGCGGGACTTGACATCTTTCCGCAAGGCCTGCAAGACAGAGCTGTTCCACCAGGCCTTTAGCCAAGGCACAGTCTGACCCCCTCCTTTGGTAATCCTCACAGAACTCTAGCCCAATGGTTGCCATTAATTTGATTTGAACTGATTTTATAATGAAATGATTTTAGAATGTTGTGTTATTTTACTGTCGTTAGCCGCTCTGAGCCCGGCTTCAGCTAGGGAGGGCGGGATATAAATAAAATTTTATTATTATTTATTATTATTCTGTAAAAAAGTTTTCCTAATAAACTACAGAATACAGTGGTAGCTTGGTACTCGAACAAATCGGCTCCTGAATGCCGCAAACCCGGAAGTGAATGTTCTGGTTTGCGAACGTTTTTCAGAAGCCGAAAGTCTGATGCAACTTCTGCTTAGTGCAGGAAGCTCCTGCAGTCAATCGGAAGCCGTGCCTTGGTTTTTGAACCGTTTTGGGAGTTGAACGGACTGCTGGAATGGATTAAGTTCGGGAACCAAGGTACCACTGTAATGGAAAAGCCAGCAACTGCACAAGCGAAGGTTACTCCATACCAGTGTTCACTTACTTCTTCCTTCTCTTCTTCACAGAATATTGCTAACATATTTTGGCATCCCTATGGCTAATGCATTTTGGCACTCACTGACAATTTCTTGCTTCTTCTGCTATGCAGCTTGATGGTAGAGCACATTGTGTGCATGCCAAATATCCCAAGTGCAACCCTTAACATTTCTAGCTAAAGAAGTCAAGCCTGGGCCGTCCCACCTCAGAACACAGGTGTGGGCTTGCATTTTCAAATGCTTCCTCATGTAAAAATTTGCTGCATTTCTCCCTTTACGGAAAAGCAGGAAGAGTCCTTATCCCTAACATGGCTCTAATACTCAGATCGTTCTTTGTTTTATTGAGTCCTATATTAAGTTGCATTTGGTAAATTTCCTATATTAAGGTGCATTTGGTAAATGTTTGGTAAATATTTGGTAAATGTGGGTTAAACCACAGAGCCCAGAAAGTTGGCAGTTCGAATCCCCGCAACGAGGTGAGCTCCCGTTGCTCGGTCCCTGCTCCTGCCAACCTAGCAGTTCGAAAGCACGTCAAAGTGCAAGTAGATAAATAGGTACCGCTCCGGTGGGAAGGTAAACGGTGTTTCCGTGCGCTGCTCTGGTTCGCCAGAAACGGCTTAGTCATGCTGGCCACATGACCTGGAAGCTGTATGCCGGCTCCTTCGGCCAATAAAGCGAGATGAGCGCCGCAACCCCAGAGTCGGCCACGACTGGACCTAATGGTCAGGGGTCCCTTTACCTTCATATTAAGGTGCATTTGGTAAATGTTCCACTTGTTTAAAGTTCTTTCAGCCTGATTACAAACTGAAGGGCAACTCAGTTTCCCGTGTAAATCATCTGGAACAAGGCACAGGTTCCCCACCCCTGCGACAGTGTGACCCAAAATTTGTGCGACTGTAATTACCACGTATTCTTCCCTTACTTATCCGTGCCTCAATCTCCCTCCACTTCCGCAGCTTCACTTTATGCATTTCCAAATTGCAAATCTCTTGGGACCATGGATCTTTGCGCAGTGGACTGTAGCTAGAAGGCACCATGCATTTAATAAAATAAAAGTTTGTTATCACACAACTTTAAATTGATGGACAAGATTTCTTATTTCTGAATGAACTCCTGTTGCACTGGAGTCTTCGTTTTTATTACCTTACGTTCCCCTGCCCTCTATAGAAACCCTTTATGGGACACGGGTGGCGCTGTGGTCTAAACCACTGAGCCTCTTGGGCTTGCCAATCAGAAGGTCGGTGGTTTGAATCCCCATGATGGGGTGAGCTCCCGTTGCTCTGTCCCAGCTCCTGCCAACCTAGCAGTTCGAAAGCAAGCCAGTGCAAGTAGATAAATAGGTACCACTGTGGCGGAAAGGTAAACAGTGTTTCTGTGCACTCTAGTGTCCGTCACAGTGTACTGCTGCGCCAGAAGCGGTTTAGCCACGCTGGCCACATAACCTGGAAAGCTGTCTGTGGACAAACGCCAGCTCCCTTGGCCTGAAAGCGAGATGAGCGCCGCTCATTACCTTTTTTATAGAAACCCTTGCACAGCAATGAGCAATTCATGGTCCCGTTTTGCAAAGTGTTTTGTCATTATTTATCATTTGAGTTGTCCTTGCACCTTACAACTTAGGGCAACTGCATCTCAGCTCGATTAGCAAAGAAAGAATAAATGAATAGGGAGAAGAGGAATAATTAGGTTAATTTTCTTCTCCCATTCTAGTTAGCTGTTGTTCCCAGTCCCCATGTTTAACTCAGATGCAAAGGAGGTGGTTGTGCTGTGTGCCTTTTCTTTGTGGAAGCTTGTCAAACTGCAAGTTGAGAGAATGTGCAGCTTCCTCTTCCAAGCCACAAGCAAGCAGTTGACAAAACACATTTTTTGTCTCTTGCCGGGTAGCCTGTATTTCTAAGGAAGCTGGATTTGGATTATAATTTGGTCTTTTTTATTTTAGTTTTTTATTTTAATTGTATTATGATTGGACATCTTAATTGGCTGTTTTTTATTGGAAAATTAATAAAAATGATTTGTTAAAAAAGTTGTACAGGGTAGTTCCCACATGTGAACACCATTTTGCTTTGCTGGACACATTCAGGGTCAGCTGAACATTTGCAGAAGGCTATTTGTGCCTGGCAATATTTACTTACTTGGCGTTATTCTGGATGCTGTTTCATTTTTAGCAAGGACTGGGAAGGTCCAGAATGCAAGGAGGAAGAGCAGAAGCCTGGAAACTTCTATGTCCCTGTCCCTAATCACTAGCTGCTGAATACTCAGACTGCTGTCTCTGGGGTGCCCAAGATTCTCTCTTGCTTTTAAAAATACGCAAGATGGAAATCTCTGTACACACAATTATGTGCTTGCAGAGT